GGAATTAAGAAGTAAATTTGCTTGCGTGTCTGTGAAAACTTCTCTATGCCATCAAGCGATTTGTGTACTTGTTTGCCAGCCTTACTTGTACTTTTTTAGTGTTTTAGTGACGATTTGTTATTGTTAAAATTTAATGGACTTATCGCGATATACCTATTTATTTGCAATTAAAATCAAATTCGCAAATGTCAACTTTAAAAACAGATGACATAAAATTTAATTAATGTTAATGATAAAATCATTGTCTTAGATATAAATAAATGAGCACACCAGTAGTCGAACTTACTTTTTTGAGTATTTGTTTGAGTTATATTTAAAAATGGTAATCCCAACAACGCTAGCGATTTGTGATACCTTTTTTTGAAATACCAAAGAACATATATGAAAACGTTTTGCGGTTACATCGAACTAGAATGATACCTACTCGTAGTCCTATCTGAACGAAGATTAAAGCTATCAAGGTAATCGATAAGTCGTTTATTTATTAGTTTTTCTATTATTTTAGAAACGGCAGGCAAAACTGAAATGGGCCTGTAGTTATTGACATCATCTACTCCTCCACCCTTGTGCCATGGAATCACTAAAGATTTTTTGAGATAAGACGGAAAAATACCCTTTTGGAAGCAGAGATTAGTCAAATGACTTATCACGGGAACTACGAGGGAAGAATACTTGAGAAACTGAGTAGAGATATTATCCCAGCCAAGTGCACTATTTGACTTAAGATCTGACAGGATATTTTCAATTTCTAGTGGATCAGTTTCTAATAAGGCAAATGATGATGAATGTGATTTAAGCCTATGTAGGCTGTCAGGTCCGGGAGAGGTGTCATATTTTTGGATATCCTCAGCAAGATTTCTACCGATGTTTGAAAAATAGTCGTTAACATGGTTAACTGAATCATAGGGGTTTAATTTAATATTTAGTAAATCAGAATTTACGGTCTTATTAGGTTTTAGATTTGTTATTTCTTTAATTGTTTTCCAAAGTATTTTCGAATTCTTATTTGCTTTATTTAATTGTTCCCTCTTAAATTTTCTTTTAAGTTTTTTTAGTAGGTTGTTACAGAAATTTCTGTATCTTTTATAAGTAATTACTAAAATTACACTGTGAGGATCCGGACGCAGTTGCCTTAGCATTTTATTTCGGTTTCTAATGCACCTTAAAACACCAGGTGTAATCCAAGGTTTAATGGTGCGTTGTGATTTTGGCTTTCTTTTTGTAATTTTACTCTCTGTTAAGGATTCAGATAAGTTTTTTATAAGTTTTTCGGAAACTACATTCGGGTCGTTACAAAATAATAATGTAGAGATATTCTTCTGCATTAATATTGAGAGCGCCCTTTCGTAGTATACAAATTCTACTGTTTTCGATACAGTTTTTTTTTATTTTACTTAATTTCAAAAATATCAAATGTTGAATGATAGTAGATAGATAGTAGTAGTACTTGTATTTAAGATTGCTATATGCGAAGAAAACTTTCTTTTGTCTAATTTTAACATAAAATGGTCTAAACAGCTAGTGCCTCTAGTCGGTAGAGAGTGATCAGATAGCATTCCATGAGTTGACAACATATTCAAATAATTATATCTATTATTAGTTTCATTCGATCCTTCGTTTTGCTTGGGAATTAGGTTTATATTAATATCACCCGTTATTATTATGTTACGACATGACTTTATTGTGTCCAAGCAAGAACTAATAGAGTCGATAAAGTTTGTCGCATTTGGATTCGACGGAGAACGATAAATACATAAAATTGTATGGTCAAAAATATTTATATGTATGCAGGATACATGATTCAATTTCACCTCTTTCATAGTTGCCTTAAGATTATTTTTGACATAAACCACTTATTTTGATTTAGATTAAATTTTGTTGCAAGTGATGTATAGTTAGATAAATGGGGTAGCGGTCTGTCTAAGCTAAGTCTACACTCGGTTAGTATGAGAACATCAACTTCAAAATTAAGGTGCGATAGTGTAGATTCAAAGTCATCAATATTTTTGTAAATACTACGAATATTTTGGCATACTAAGGTTAGGTCATTTTTGAAAACATTTATATATTTAGTTAAATCCTGTATATCAAATTGTATAGAGTTCTCTATTTTTGAATCGTCCATGTCTTGTATAGTAGAAAATGTACTGTTCATTCTACTTTTATAAAATAATAAAATGCATTAGCAATTTCGTTAAAGAGTTTGTTGAATATTATAAACAATTTAGTAGAGGGTAATTTTGCGAAGTGATTAGCTCGATGTGTATATATAAAAAAATTAAATAAAAGTTTTTATATATGTATAATAGCAATGTGCAGGTGGGTGGGGTGACAGAGGAACCTAAGAGAAGTAGAAATAGTTACAGTAGTCTGTGTAATCTCGAACTGTTTGTTAAGATATGACTGTTGTATTACTGGAAGATGAATGTGTGAAAGTGTGTCTGAGTGATTGCTTTTTTACATTTGTGTGGTGAACAATTAAAAACCAAAAATAAATATACGAAAACACGATAGAGCTTACTCTAATCGAAGAGATTGCATGTATATTGTAGAACGGCTTTTAGTCAGGTGTCTATCTTCAGCTGCTGGATTTGCGAATCATTTTTAATTAGTATTATTTTGGGTTTATCGTCTTTCATCAAATAAATCTTCCCGTAAGATGTCCAACAAAATTTATACGAATGTGTCTTGCTAAGGTCCCGTGCAAGAAAATAGAGTCGGGCAGCCTTAGCTGTTAACTGCTCTGATACGAAGATAGGGTTATTTTCTATACCTGAAGACTTAAGTCGTAAATGATGAGCACTGAGTTTTGATTTGTTATTTTTTTTGTTGAACTCCTTACATTTTTTCAAAAAATCATTTTTTTGTATGGTAGATAATGTCTCCACAATGATAGGAGTGTTCTTAATATCTTCTCTTTTTCCACGGACTCTATACACATCCTTAATATCTGAACTTACCATTTGGCAGCCGATAGTGTTGGATCGACTTAAAACCATTTCAATAAGGTTTGTTTTACTCTCGTCGTTCTTTCTTGGGACGTTCTTGATTTCCAAATTTGTTTTACGTCCTTATCTTTTTGCATGTCCTCTATTTTGTCTTCCAAAACAGCTATATATTTCCTGTCCTCCTTAATTTGTCCTTCTAGCTTAGAGATCCTTTCTTGAAATTCCTTATTTTGTTCTGTCAAAAAAGTAATAAAATTTTCGATATTTTGGTTAGTTTTTTGGATTTATTTAAGAATGCTTGCATTTTCTTGAAGTTCAAGATTTTAAGAATTTATAAGCGATAAGAACATGTTTTTCATTTCTTCTTTTAAATTAGCCAGTTCCGAAGTGTAATCTTCATCTCTTCTTCTCTTTTTCCGGGCAGTTAAAAAGTTTGGTGGGGTTGTTTGATGTGCAATTTCCACTTCTGTATCTGACAACGATTTATTCATGGTATCCATTTGCTCAAGATTAGGACACTATAAGTGAATAGGAGTTAGTTATACTCTTCAATACGTAGTCGCAAAATGGTGCAAAAAAAAGAGTGCGGCAGCAATGTCCTATGGCAAGCAAAAGGTGGAGTCACGTTTGAGTGGGTTGTACTAAAACGCCACAATGGCCGAAAAGTGCGTATGCAGATAGGATATTCTTGGTTTTATTAGAGTGATTACGGACTAGTAGAAATATGTAAATGATAGCTCTTAGTAATTAATACTGTTCGCTTTATTGCGGTTCTACGTATGTAGGATTCTCGCCTTCCTTCTTAAATTAAATAAAGCACTTGGGTGCTATTTATATACTCTCATAAAGTACTAAGATAAGGCAAACCTTACGCTTAAATTTTTTTCAATAAGTATTCTTGTAATACATAATACAAATACGTAAACACTCACGCCTGTCATCCAGAGGGGTAGGCAGAGACTACAGACTTCCATTTGGCACCCTTTCGCCTTATCCACATCCATATACCTACGCATACATGTTCATCGGTTAACCGATGAACACACCCTTAAGGGTATTCTTAATTTGGCCCATTTTCAACATATTGCCAATTTGGTCGACAAACTTTCGCCTAGAACGTTCCTTTCCGACTCTGCCGTTCACTTCTGCAACATACATTTGCTTTGTAACTCTTTCCTCGTTCATTTGGTCACAGCTACATGACCAAACCATCTTTGTAATCAATATTGATTAAAATATTCTATTGTCTTCTATTATGTTTATAAGGTTGTTTTGATTTTTTTTTGGAGATTTTACTGTTGCGTTAGGCACCGTAATAAGCGGCCGTATGTTCGCAACAAAGTGGAACGGTCAAACGACACCGAATGAATTATGGCCCGGAACAGCCTGGCTTGTGATTCATCCTACATGGCACGGTTGGACCGATCCATGCACTTTTGTACACTTTACAGTTTAATTTATTGCTTTTTACTGAGTTTTCACTGTGGACATTGAAAACATTTATTTTTGTTATATTATTATAATAGCCCCGCAGTCATGGTAGCCTGGTAATTCGGGGGCAAAACAATCGCTGTTTTTGAGGGCTTGTGAAGTCTGCTAACATTTACGACTGCAGCGGCGTGATATAACCCTCCCAGAAATGAGGGTTGTGTGAGGCCGTTGCATATTACGCAGTGCAGCTTCTCGCGGTAGAGCCATGCTGCAGCTATATTAGTAGTATAGTTGTGGCACGAATGAGTCGGTTCGACCGGGGAAGGACCACGCTCTCACGGAATACTAGCGTAAAACAGCAGTTAAACGCTGCTGTGTTTCGTATGGGGAATTGGGGAGCTGCAGAGTCCCGGAGACTCTTTTTACTGGATACAAGGCATTCTATCTTAGTCCTCGGGGGTGACAACGTTGCATTTTGATTTTTGATCGGAGATGAATATGGAAGTCTAAGAGCTACAGCATCCACTTACTATCAGGTGAACTGTGAGCTCGTTTGTCACCTTTTTTAAGTTATTAATTTGTGTTAAATTTAGTTCTGATAGAAAATATTTGTTGCAGCTTATGGCAGCATTCGTAGTGGCTTCGGTGGCAGAAGATCAAATGCAATGGACTCCTTACGGAAAATTTCAAGTCTACAACCTACAACAGGATCAACAGGTGAATTTTAAAGTGCTGCAATATAAAATAATTGGCTTTTGGATCATCCTCTTATCATTCATCGGTCTATAAAACAAGTCAAACAAGCCCTTTTAATACGTTGTAGCACGAATTGGTCGGCTCGACCGGGGCAGGACCACGTGGTGTGTGTAGAGATCTGGAGACCCTTATTTACTAGAAACGAGGTATTGCGTTATGGTCCTTAGGGGTGACAACGCATCTACGTTTTGATTCTTAATCGAGGATAAATGTAAACGTCTATGGGCCACAGCATCCACTTACCATCAGGTGGTCTGTGTGCTCGTTTGTCACCCATATTTTATATTCAAAAAAATACAACAGACATCCCGCATGATTTACCAGGTCGTCATTACATCTATAAGCTCCATTTAGTAGGTGCCACCTTAATCTCATGATAGTGTTTACTGGCACGAGACAGCCACTCGCGAACCTTTCTTCCCCATCGGTTGTCGGTTCTTCGAGCTATATGGCCGGCTCATCGCCACTTCAGCTTACTAATCCGTTGAGCTATGTCGGATCTCCAGTTCTGCTGTAGGTCCGGTGCTGTAATTTCAAATTCTATCATGGAGAGAAACTCCGAGCGAAACTCTCTATATATGTAATTTTCAGCTTCCCTATACGGCCGCTTATGAAGGCGTACGTCTCAATTCCATATGTTAACACTGGTAACATGCACTGGTTGTACATCTTAACAACAAAAAATAATCAAAGAGTACGTAACCACTACGTTCTAAAGATAATATCCACTCTCCAAATTAGTTTTAACTAACTAACTGCCTAATGTATAAAAAACAACAAATTGAATTCACAACTGGTCATGAAATAGAAAGTAAAAAAGTAGCAGACAGTCAGTCAGTGTATAGTGAAGGTTGACCAATTTAGTATTTATTTTGTATCCTTAAAATCTTCTCTATATTCTAACTTTTTTATAGAAGTTGGATTACAAACGAACATACAGGCCACCTGATATTTAAATAAGTAGTTGCTGTGGCCTATAGACATCTTCATCTAACTTCGATTAAGAATCAAAATACATATGCGTTGTTACCCTTGTGGACTAAGATGGAATGCCTCGTTTCCAATAAAAAGGGTCTCCGGTTTTCTATACACATCATTTGAAACACAGCTGCTATTTCGCCCTGGTATTCTGTGAGAGTGCGATCCTTCCCCGGTCCAGCCGACCCATTCGTGCTACAACCATAATAATTATACTCGTAGTTACAGCGTGGCTTTACAACGTAGGTATAAACGTTTACGCTACGTTAAGTCCACGCGTAAGATCTGAGTTCGGCTTCTCATCTTTTTTATTAGCATTACCGTTAAAGCCTATTAAAGTCGACTGCTGTACATAGGCCTCCCCCATAGATTGCCTCAATTGGGGGATTTTTGCAATATTTGCCAAGTTTGGCCGGATTGCCAACCGCAGTTTATTATTTTTAGTCGTTATTAGGAAGACGCTGCTGCCCCTCTCCCGATTTGTTTCCCTCTGCTGCCTCTTACGACACCCACGGGATCAAATGGGATAGTGGATATTCCTACACCGCAACTACACGTCATACTTACTTTTATTAGTTTTATATATTGAAGAAAGGACCTGTAGCTAGGTTTTTTTTTTAAAAACTGTTGGGGACATGTGAAGTACATTTCAAGCCTTTAGATGTTCGCTCGTAAAAGAAAGATTTATCTTTACGCACATTAAAATTTCAACGACCCAAGACCTCTACCTCTACGTATGAGTAAAAAACAATCAGTACGATTCGAAACCTTTGACGAAGGGTTCCGTAGCTAACCAATGGTAAGCTCCATCCCCCCATCCCGATTATATTCTATGAGAGCGTGGTAAGTGTCTGTGAAAACGTAGTCCTACCACGCTCTCACAGAATATTAGCGTGGAACAGCGGATTAATGCTGCTGTGTTTCGTATAGTGAGTGTGGAGAACCCTTTTCACAGGTAGCGATTTATTCGATCTTAGTCCTCAGGGGTGACCAACATCTGCATTTTGATTCTTCTTTGAGGATAGATGTAGAAGCCAATTGGACACATCATCCACTTACCATCAGGTGGAAAATGTGCTCGTTTATCACCCTTATTCTATTGGTATTGAATATATGGTATTGGTATTCTGTGACAACCTGGTCCATACCGGTCGCAACAACTCGAGTCGAGGCCTAGTCGTGCTGAATCTTCGGGCGAAAAATGATCAATTTAACGGTATACGTTTTTCGTACCGCCAGACGGAACCCTATTTAAGAATTGGAATAATATTTTTTCGCTAACAGAAAATATAAAAGCTCGTAAAGTGAGGTTACGGCCTCCAATGCCAATATCTCTATTTTATTATATTTTATTATAAATCCGGAATCCAGGTAGGGTTCGAATTGTAATCTGCTTACTAGGCAGCGGGGTTGGCGGAAAATATGGCGAACAGATATCATAATATCAATTTCATTATTATCTATGGTTCTAAGGTAGTTAGGTTAGGAGTAGTAGTTATGGTTCAAAGAATATTTTTGTTTACATACACATATACATATCACCACGGTCGGTAATTCTCGAGGGGATAGGCAGAGTCCAAAGACCACGGACTCGGACCATGTTTAGCAAATTTTTTTTAATAGTATAAGGTTGACTGACTATGGCACAGTCCACCTAATGGTAAGTGAATACTGTGGCCCATAGAAAATTAAATCTATTCTTGATTAGGAATCACAATGCAGCCAGATGCATTGTCACTCCTGATGACTAAGATGGAACGCCTCGTTTCCAGTAAAAAGGGTCTCCGGTTCTCTACACTCACCACCATACAAAACACAGCAGCATTAAGCTGCTATTTTATTTCCAATCTATATTTTAAATCCGAGCAAAGCTACTTAAGACTCAAAGGAACATTAATAGTTAATCAAGTTTTTGTTTTTATATTTCTACGATAAAAGGTTTTTATATAGCTGTACATATTATATGTATATTATTGATTTCTTATAGAATAAATTTAACAAACGAGCACGCAGTCTACCTGATGGTAAGTGGATGCTGTGGCCCATAGACATCCACATTTATCCTCGATAATAATCAAAATGCAAATGGGTTGTCACGCCTGAGGACTAAGATGGAACTTCATCTGAGGATGGAACGCTTCGCCTCCAGCAAAACGGGTTCTCTACACTTACCATACGAAACACAGCAGCATTAAGCTGGTATCTTGTCGAAGCCCAGGTTTGAGTCCCGCTCTAAACAATTGTTTGTATGGTGTTTGTCCAATCGCAATTTATGTATGGAAAACGCCTCTGCATTTAAGGAGATAATCGATAGTTATTTATTTTAAAAAACGTTACAGCCACACCAGGATTTTCTTCTATACCTATTGCGGGGACAGTTTACAATTTACATACATAAATTTCACAAGGACAAACATCCAGACCAGGAACAATTAATTAGGTCATACAAATACTTGTTCTGTTTGGGATTCGACCCCGCGGCCATTAGGGCTGCAATTCAGTATTATGCCACTGCGCACGGGGTCTTCAGTATCGTAACTTATTGATAACGTATAAAAAACTATTCATTGATATAACAGAATATATTAATTTATGTAACAGGTTATATTTCCAGTCCAGCCAGACCGTTACGCAAGTCATTCATGAATAACAGTTAAAAAAACAGTTCGGTTAAAGGGAGCAAAAAATAACTGCAGTTCGGTTAACTGCCCGTCGCTAGAAACGTTGTGGCGAATTGTTTTTTTATCGTTTTATGCTATCTACCGGATCTAGTTCCACGGTAAAAGTGACGCGACAGCGAGGTAGGAAGCGTTTTAAGGAGACGATAAAATGAACTTTCGTTTCGTTCGACGAGTAAGGTTACAATTAAATTGGTTGTCTTATGTGTGGATGAATCATTGAACCGAATGGATAGTCGCTCTAAGCTAATTAACTGCCGTCGGTCACGTTTAAAATGCAATACTCCGTACAAAGTGACTGACACAGCAGTCAAAGGTTTAAATTATATACTGGAGATTTTATTATCGTCTGAAAAAATAGGGTAAAACAGGTGAACGGAATAGAAGCATATGGCGCTGATATTTGACATTTTTTTTGCTTTTACATTAACATATTATGAAATTGAACTGTCAATAATTACCACTAATTTGAAATAAACTTTCGGTAGTAAAAAAAATAAAAACCAAAATTTTGAAAATTATCAACTAGCTAAAATAATACGTACACAATTAGTAGTATTTATTGATAGATCAATTTCATAATATGTTAATGTAACAACGTAAATTTTTAGTGCCACAGGCTTTTCTATTCCGTTCACTTCGTTCTCCGGTTACCTACCCTATTTTTTTCCAGACGGTAAAAAAAATGAGTCCGTATAAATAATTCAATAAATTCAAACGAACGAATAAATGTCATACGGTATAAAATATCAAAGCCATATGACATATAAAATAAAATAATATTCAATAGCTTCTTTAAATATCAGAACCATATGACATATAAAATAAAATAATATTCAATAGCTTTCTTTAAATAAATAAAAAAGTTATCATATAAATTAGTCGAGAACTCTGTCCTAAAGTGATATTTGTCTGTCTATTTTAATATTGTACCGATAAAGAAAAATTTTTTTGCCACTTTCATAATATTATTAATAACGTCAAATGACGCCAGTCAATACTTTTTTTTTAGCGCGTAAGGGCTTTTATAGAGTAAGGACCACGCAAATATAACAACTTAATACTGCTGTGTTTCGTGTAGTGAGTGTAGCGAACCGGAGACCCTTTTTGACTGATTATATAAACGCATTCCATCTTAGTCCTCAGGGGTGACAACGCATCTTCGTTTTGATTTTTAATCGAAGTTAAACGTAGATGTCTATGGGCCACTGCATCCACTTACCATCAGGTGGACTGTGTGCTCGTTTGTCACCCTATCCTATAAAAAAGTATGTTACGATTAGACTGACATATCACTGTAGGATAAAAGCCTATTAAAATAAAGATATATAATAAAAATTTATATGTGGTAAGTAGAGCCACGCTACAGCAGTATTATGATTGTAGCATGAATTAGTCGGCTCGACCGGGGAAGGATCACGCTCTCACAGAATACCATAGTAAAATAGCAGCTTGATGTTGCTGTGTTTCGTATAGTGAGTTTAGAGAACCTGAGACCCATTCTACTCGAATCGAGGCATACCAACTTAGTCCTCAGAGGTGACAACGCATCTGCATTTTGATTCTTAATCGAGGTTAAATGTAGATGTCTAGATGTCTATGGGACACAGCATCCACTTACCATCATAGCAAGGTAGATAGTAGGTAGACTGTTAGCTCATTTGTATCCTATCTTATAAAAAAAGTTTACCCCTCCCGTTGATTTTTAAGGTTTTAAAACGTAAATAAATTTCTGGTGTCGTTTATAACTTCCGCCAATTTATGTAAAAACGGCAAGAGACGTCAAGAGTGCCAAGAGCGTTCATACCTACGAAATTTTACACTACGTACTTACTGTTAATTTGATTTCACTGTTAATTTGATACTAGTTACTAGTTATTTCGTAACTAAAAGGTTTGTTTTAAATTTAAATACGATTATTTATTGACTTATTAATTATTGACATACCGTGTAGTGGCTGTGTAAGAAATATCCACTACCTCGAACATGTGGGTGTCGTAAGCGGTGACAGAGGGAATCAAGTCAGTAGATAGGCAGCAGCGTCTTCCATATAAGGACTAAAAATAAAAAAAAAACTGCGGTTTCGAAAGCTGGCAAATATCAAACTCTGTCATTACACACTAATAAATAAGTAAGAAAAAAAAACTAAAGAAGTATGAAATAAAACTGTTTGTCTAAGGAAAACAAAAACACAGGTGTATCATTTAATTGTATTTATTACTATAATAGCGTTCCGCTTCGGCTTCGTGCTGGTGATTTATGATTCTCGACAATAGCGCCATCTACCGAATCTAAATGTAAATATAGTGTATACGTGAGGGTAATATGGTCATGCGTATAATATAGTCACTTTCTTATAACTCAGAAACTACAGCCTTGTTTGCATAGATGGCTCTATGATACGATAGCTATTCATCAGTAAATCAAATAATAAAGCTAACCTCTATGTAATAAAGGGTCAAAAGGGTGCTGCTTCATCGACGGCATTTTGACAGTTGACATTATAGTAAATATTTCAGTCGATTCTAGTAGTGTAGTGTAATTAGTTTTTTCAAATACTCCTTAGGTTTTCTGTAGTATTTGGTTTTTTTAAGTTTAATTTTTGAAGTGTTCCCAATTATTGCCAAAGCTTGTTTGCTATTTTTTCTTATAGTACCTATAAGACTTAATGTTTTTGTCTCTGTCCTTCTCCCAGTTTAGGTTTTATAGGGTGACAAAGCTTAAGACGACCGCACTACCATTATGTAAAATGTCTGGGGATCCATTCAAACACACATGAAAATTTTCATCAAAATTGGTTGGATGGTTTCAAAGTCTATAACATAGGTAGAAACATTTTTGTGTTTTATATATATATATATAGATTTTCAATCCTCATCATTTCCGAAGAATATTTCAAACAAATGTGTATGCAGTCCACTCTGTAAGACAAGAAGTCTTCTACGTAGAAGACAGTCTAGGTAACAAACATCCATCTTACGTGTTGCTGCCGCCAAATGACAGTCTGCAGCACTGCTGTGTTCCGATATGAAAGCTGTAGAAAACCATTACAATTACTGGCTCATAAAAAATAAGCAGCGGTTTTTACTTTTTATAATGTAATTTTCAAAAGGCGTTTTTCATTGCCAGGTTCAACCAAGTGAATACTCGGAGGGTTTCAACTTTGGCGGACATGACACTAGCTCCCTTGGTGACCACGGCAGCTTGGGTCAAGATTTTGGCGGCCATAGTTTCGGTGGCCATAGTTTCGGCGGACATGAGTTTGGAGGTCACGACTTCAAGGCCCAGTCTTACCCTGTCCACCAGCATATAGAGGAAGAAAATCCCGAACCAATCAAGCATTACAAAGAGGTCGTGGTACCGGTACATAAGAACGTAGAGTTCAAAGTGAACCAGCCGGTTCTGATCCCCGTTCCCCATCCCGTACCCATTCGGGTGCCTGTACCGAAAGCCGTTGTGATACCGATCATAAAAGAAGTCTCGATTCCTGTTGAGAAATCTGTTCCCTATCCCGTTGAGAAGACAATCCATGTTCCCAAGATCAAGGAGGTCCCATTCGAAGTTGTCAAACACATTTTGGTACCAGTGGAGAAACCTTACCCATTTAAAGTACCTGTTCACGAAACAATAATTCACACAAAGAAAGGCTCCCATAAGATATAATTTGTTGTTACTTATATTGTTGTTGTGTTGTTGAATTTTGTAAGTATGTTTGTTGCAAGAATGTGAATGTGATTTATGTTGTTAATATTATTTTATGTTAAGTGTTGTTGTTAATAAAAAACTGTTATGAAAGTTTGTGTTATTTTATTATATCATCAATATTATAGCCCTCTTCTATTGAGGAATGTAAATATTTTCCGCACATCATTTATTATAATTAGTAGAGGCCGCCCTACACTTCTTCAATAGCACAAGTAGGCGCAAATTAAGTTTTGCTATAAAATTATAACAGGCGCGCGTAATTTTATTACTTCATTGCTTATGACTACATTTTGAATTTTTTGTTTTTATGAAAAGTCGCATTTCCTTCCGTTTCGGCTTTCAAGAAGTTCTTGTCATACGGAATGTTAATGTCGACCAAAAATATTCTTGATTGTGCCCGGTCCATCAGCGCAATATGACGCTTATTGGCAAGAATAGTCCTGTGATGATGGCCCGGTTCTAGTAGAGCCTGGCGTGATTTTCGAGCACGGTCTCTGGCAAGTACTTGTAATATGGAAATTTCCGGTCCACGAGACCGTATTTCAGAGCGATCTCCTGGTGAAGAATTCTGGCTAACAGGTTGTGCCTGTGCAAGTACTCACAGTTAGAAAAACCTAACCGGAGATGACATGCCTAAGTGACTCACCGGAAGAGTCTGCAGAGGTAATAATTCCCCTTTTGCCTTCTTTGTGTATGAGGTATCAGCACATGAGATAAGCTTTTCTTTCTAGTCAAATTTAATACTTTATTCACTTCAGATTTTATGAAGAAGTTATTAGGTAATAAAGGTAGTATCAGAGAAGGTATTTAAAGGCTAAACTTAAAAGTTAGCAAAAAGAGGTATAAATATATTTAAATATTTTAAGGACCCAATTTTGCATACTACATATTTTGTTATTGTATATTTTGATATTGTTGTTTTACCTCGTGTTAAGTGGTGAACAAAAACTTCGCGAGTAAACCTACATCTCTGAGAAATAAAATAATATTTCGACTGATTTGGTCAGGTTCTCTACACCCACCATTCAAAACATTAGTCGGTTTCGAATGGTGAATATAGAAAACCTGAGATCCTTTAGCTTTACGTGGTAGAAACACGCTGCAGCTATACAGGGTTATTTTGTAATAGCGGGCCAAATTTGCGGAAAAGGTTCATTATAAGTAATATAGTATATGGGGAGGAACTGAGTCTTGTTGATACCACCATTTTTCTTGGAATCACACTGGACGAAAAGCTTCAATGGCTCCCCCATATATCAAAACTAGCTAGCAGACTTGGTTCTGCAGCATATGCTGTAAAAAAGATTAGAACTCTTACCAGTGTTGAAACAGCTAGAATAGTTTACTTTAGTTATTTCCATAGCATTATGTCGTATGGTATTTTGCTATGGGGACACGCGACTGACACTGAAATTATATTTATTTTACAGAAGAGGGCCATTAGAGCAATATATAATTTAAAACCAAAAGAGTCACTGAGACAAAAATTTAAGGAAATTAATATATTAACTCTGGCCTCTCAATACATTTATGAAAATGTAATGTACGTACACAAAAATAAAAGTAGTTTTGCGAAAATAAGTGATATTCATTCTGTAAATACTAGGAGCAGACACAAGCTGGTAGTAACCAGTTACTCGACTCCACCGAGTCAGTAATTCATTCTTGGGGCGATGTATACGCTTTTACAACAAAATCCCAGAAAATATACAAAATTTGTCATACACAAAGTTTAAAAATGTTATTAAACTAAGTTTGTATAAAAAGGGTTATTATAATATTAAGGAATTTATGGATGATAATAACCCCTGGGAAGGGTGATCGCTACCAAGCTATTTCTAATTTGTTTTGTGTTGTTGATTGTAAACATGATTGTAAGCTATTATTAAAAAAAAATAGTCCCGCTGGGTTTCTTGCTGGTTCTTCCCAGGACAGAGGTTTTTTTTGCGAACCAGTGTTAAATTAAAGAAGTGACTTTCAATAAGTATTTTTATAATCTACATTGAATAAAAAAAGTTTCTATTTCTATTTCTATTTCTAGGCAAATGGTGAAAAAAAATAATAATTAGAAATAACCTCAAAATATTATCTTACCTGTCTTTTATATCTTTTAAATTCAAAATGCGTAGTAATGCATTATTTTAACTCCGGGCACAAACAAGAATATTTTTGGTCGACATTACCATTCGGTATGACGAGAACCTCTTTAAAGCCGAAACGATAGGGAATGCGGCTTTTCATAAAACAAAACGTTTCATTTAATGTATACTTATACCATTTTTCTGGAATAACAGGGAGAAACGAGTACACAGTTCACCTGATGTTAAGTGGTTGCTGAGGCCCAAATACATCTATATCTATTTTTGATTCACACAAAACTTAGCAGAAACATTCACAGAAAACTTAGCAGTATTAAGCTATTAATTTACACTGGTATTCTGTGAGAGCGTAGTCCTTCCCCGGTTGAGCCGACCCATTCGTGCTACAACTATAACTGCAGCTTGACTACCACGTTTAAACCATTTAGAGTCAGTGTCTCAATTGACTTCGACAATTGTCATGTATTAAAATTATATTTTTTATTTCCTATTATGTTATTACTTATACGTTTATTTGTATTTACTATCTTTAAAACGTTTATCTTGCATCATTTACGGCACATTCCGCGATAAATTAATTGTATTGTCGCGTGGCACCCGTATAAATATATATACAATAATTTACGATGCGGCGCCATGCTTCACTAAACAGGCTTGCTGTTATGTGATGTATAATGCATAATACCTCGAACTGTACTGTTTTCATTTGTTCGCTCTGAGCACTTAGTTCACGAAATATTCAAAAAAAAAAAAAAAAAATCATCAATTCTTATCTTACGTAATTAAATCCTTATCTCCATCGCGAGCGTGTGCAAATGGCTGCATAAAAAATTATTTAAATGAGACATGCAAGCTGAATAAAGCGATCGAATGAACTGACTAATAAAGCGATCGAATGATCGAATGATCTGACTAATGAATATTAGAAGGCGCAAAACAATATCAGCTAATGGTGGCCACTTTGAACAACTTTTGTAAAATTTAATTTAATAAAACGATAATTTAATATTGTTATTTTCTCTCGTTTTCTCATTATTAAATCCCACAGTTGCGAAATCAATATTTTTAAGTTAATTTCAAGGAATTAAGTAAATTTTAGCACTGTACAATGGGAATTTATTTATTTGTATTAAATACTGGAAATACAGTGAGTTATACCACTTCGGAATCTCAATAAAATAGGCATGTTTTTACTTAAGTTGGTACTCAGATGACCATATTTCTTTAACCCTACGTTAGGTTAAACTTAGGAAAAAATAAGCAATACATGAAATTTGAGTTAGATTTTTGTTTAAAAAAAACTATGCATGCACCCTAAAAATTATAGTTTACATTCGATAGCGCTTCTATTCAGGAATACTATCCAAAAAACAGATTAAAAAACCCCTCATTTGGAGTATTGCCACCAAAAAGTCTGGCAAAGGGTGTAATTTTTTGTAATTTTCGAATATGTCAAATTATCTTGAAAACCGAGAGACTTTTACGAAAAATAAAACATGTTTTTCTGAACCGACACAACGTTGTCTACTCATAGGTACCATATTATGCATTCATTACGCCACACCCATAAGTAAAGTAAAAAAGTAAAGTTACAGCCTATATACGTCCCACTGCTGGGCACAGGCCTCCCCTCATTTCTGAGAGGGTTTTAGGGCAAGGAAGAGTCCGCTGCGCTGCCCCAATGAGTATTGGCGAACTTCACATGTCTTCGAAATATTTTTTTTCTTATTCCTCAGACATGCAGGTTTCCTCACGATGTTTTCCTTCACCGCCGAGCACGTGGTAACTTTTATAGTAAATTTACCACACCCATATACAGAGTTATTTTCTAAAGAGCTCTGTATACAGGGCCACACACTCATTACTTTACACATTATTATAAAGGTACGTCATGTGTGGTGACGTAAGAGACAACCCCCGCTCGTCTTGCAGGTGAAGTAAAACACGCAGAATACTCAGACCAGAGATAGAGTGCAGTGAACTGTGAGCGTCAATTCGTCTATTATGCCCTATTAAAGTCCATTGCTGAGCACAGGCCTCCCAAATAGATTTCCTCATAGACTTATTAGATAGGATATGGGCTATAGTTGCTTGGCAAGCGATTTGTCACCCGCAGTTTTATATTTTAGTCTTTATTAGGAAGACGTTGCTGCCCATCTCCTAAATTGTTTCCCTCCGCTGCCTCTTACGACACCCACGGGATGAAATGGGGCAGTGGATATTCTTGAACTGCCACACACGGTCCGTCAATCAATCCTTAAAATATTCGGACATTATATGGTACATGCGGACATTAATCTTATGCTTATGCCCAAAAACTCAAACGTCAATTAATTTTAGGGCGCGTTAAGTTTCATACTGTCTCTATCAATTTAAGTCAAAGTTACTGTGACATCCCGAGACTTAACGATATCTTATAAGTTATAATTAAGTAGCGTTTGAGTGTTCATAATCGGCAGTACGTCAACAACTTTCTTACGGTACACACTCACTCAAGGAAAGACTTGCCATAACTACTGAAAAGGAACCAGACAAACGTTAACTAAGAAACAGAAGGGGGGAATCGAGGCTTCTCTCGATCCGGCCTCCTATAACGCCTACGTTGGGTTCGGGAACAACGTATGTGATCTCCGCAACGGAGTAACAAACAAGGGCGATAACCTCTTTCTTTTCAGAAAATTGGTTCAGGCGGGGATTACGGGTCTTCCGAAGTCGTCCCGGTCCCAACGCCTTAATTCTTCGATATGGACTGTATCACTTTAAGGGGAGAATTCCTTGGGAATAAAACAGCAATTATCTTCAAACCGTTCCGTGAGAGAGTAATTACTTTTCCCTATCACTTCCCTATACTTTTCTTTT